AAAAAAAAAAAAAAAAATCACCGTGTATTCCAAGTTGACTTGAGCTTCTTGTACAAATAAAGTCTTTATCTAAAACATCCCAAATTCCATGTCATTCTTAGCCTCACAACTAGCACCACCCACATCAACCAGCCTGGGCATTTCCGGCGGCCTCTGGCACCTCACGAGCGCCCAATTCAGGCCCTCGAAAAACGGGTGCCCCCTGATCTCAGCCGCTGAACCCGGCCTCTCCTCGGGCTCCTTCCTGAGCAGGCGGCGCATCAAGTCCCGTGCGGCCGAGCTCACCACGGGAGCCCCGGGGAAGGTGAGGCACCTGGACACCACATTGGACAGGGTCTCCTCATTGGTTGAACCCCTGAACGGGGTGAGCCCGTACAGCATCTCGTAAAGGAACACCCCAAGCGTCCACCAGTCGACGGGGCTCCCGTGGCCCTCCCCCCTCACAACCTCGGGGGCCAGGTACTCGTGCGTGCCCACAAACGAGTTCGATCGGGCCCCCGTGGGCTCCAGCACCATCTGCGGGTATCGCATGTCCGGGTGAGGTTCGGGTTTTCGGGGGGCCTTGTGCAGGGTGAAGCAAGAGGGGTGGAGGCAGAGGGGGTCGATGCACGATGAGGGTGGTGGGTTTGTGGTTGGGGGTTGGAGGAGTGTTGGAGTCACGGGGGTGGGGCAGCGCAAGGAGAGGTCAAAGTCGGTGAGCATGATGTGGCCGTCCTCACGCACCAGGACGTTCTCAGGCTTCAGGTCACGGTACACAACACCCAGCATGTGGAGGTACTCGAGAGCAACAAGGACCTCCGCCGCGTAGAACCTGAACATACCATTACCAAAAACACTAAATGCCCTTTCCCATTCTTTTTACGTTTTATTAGATCTGAAAATAAGATCAACAAAAAGAACAGCAAGAGTGAGGATAGGAAGAGTTTCAAAATTACAACTACCTCTTCATTTATGTTTACATTTTACAACATGAGCCCTGAGATGAGGATATTCATCAACATGATGCTATAGTAGCTGACCTTGGGCTTCCCTGTTCTGACTACTACCATTATTTGCGTTGCCTTTCCTACCTAATGATCAGAATCGATACGCCTATGTTCTCAATCATGGAGGCAAATCTTCCAGTTCTAGTTTGCTCTAGTCTTTTAGACTCAGTTTACTTATTTAATTGGCACTGCTGATTTCTTCTCACCCCTTTTCTTTTAATGTGAAATCTCATGGAGGCGTTTACATTTCAAAACTAAACTTTCCTACAGTTACAACTACCTAACAAATAACCATCCATTCCTTGTAACTATCCAAGCTGGAAAAAATCAAAATTAAACAGACTACGACAACAAGTGTAAAAAGGTGCTTCTTTTATCCTCCAAATACAGAACACGTTACCTACATCACCTTTCTCAACATATAAAGACAACAACTTGGATTTCTAGAAACCATCATCCGAGTACTTCATTTTTTTTAAAAATAAAATAAAATTATATATATGTACATATGTTCACTATTTCTTTTCCCTTTTCTTGTAGCTGGTCATGCATGAAATGTAACTTATCATTAGCACAACTTAAATTTGTTTTTCTTTTACCTGGCTGCTTTTTCAGAAAAGGACCTACTAGGCTGCTTTTGTCGAAGCACGTGAAGATCGCCACCCAGGCAGTACTCCATAACTAGACACGAAAACTTATCCGTCGCAAAATGGGCATAGAGCGTGGGCAGAAAAGGGTGATCAAGAATCCCTAGAATCTCCCTTTCCGTGTGAGCCCTCGTCATTTTCTTCCGGGCCACTAAATATTCATTGTCCATAACTTTCACTGCAAACAGGCAGCCTGTCCCGATAAGTTCCGAGAGATAAACAGTCCCGATATCCCCACCCCCTATTTTCCTCAGCATTTTAAAACTCCTGAGGCTCAAACTCCCGTGCTGCTTTCGGGCACAACTTATGGCTTCCCACCTCGAATCTCTCGACATGTGGGCCCGGTGACCGCTCCGGCTCGACCCGCCACTAAGATAGGTTTCTTCACTATAGAAGCTCGACCCCATGCTACTGCTTTGTGAGCTTTGTGAAAATTCGCTCTTCTCCTTAGCGCTTGATTTTTCATCCGCCCTCCTTGTTTTGCAGACGAGGCTGGAGCCAGGCCTTGAATTCACCATTTTGCCCTTGCGATGTTGATCGCGCTTGTCTTTAACTGCTTCGTTACATTGACCGACAGTTTTAGGGACTAAAGTTCTTCTCGGCTCATATTTCCTCTTCACAAAGTCTTTACTTGGACTTTTAACCAAGTCTGATATATCCTTGGCTGAATTCCTATTGCTTGTACAGTAGTTCTCCTCTTTGTTTTCCTCGATCACGACGGCCCTGTAATCCGAAATTCCAGGGGAGGCAGAGGGCCTTGGCAGTCGTTTTCTGAGGGCAGCCATTTCCGAAGCCTGAGAAATGCACAATCCTCTAAAGGACTGTTTTAGACTCATGGGATCAGAAATCCCGATGCCTGAGCCTGAGATATGGGAAGGGCTTACTCTAATCGGCCTTTTCATGGAACTTTTGCCCGAAAAATGCCGTCGGGAGGTCCCAATGTCAATGGCCTCAAAAAGCCTGTTGATGTCATCTTCAATGCTACGTCGGTTCTTCGTATCCCGACTGGTTTTAGTTTCGCAATTTTCGGTTAGTTCTGTTATTTCGTGCGTGCAGGGGAACGTACTCATCGTTCTTGGCCTCAAACTCAAATAATACTGATAATGCAATCAAGAAATGAAGATGGCAATATGTTTGAAGGCAGGCTGATACTGAAGGCTAGCCGTTGATCGTGCTGAGAACTTTGATCTAGGGCAGTTCGAAT